TTTTTTTTTTTTTTTTTTTTGTAGAGGAAAGGTCTCCTTATGTTCTCCAAGTGGTTTCAAACTCCTGGGTTCAAGAAATGCTCCCACTTTGGAGTCCCAAAATTTTGGGATTACAGGCATGAGCCATTGAGCCTGGCCTAGATTTTGCATTTTAACAAGCTGATGAAGACTGGCAATTAAAAAAGAAAAAAAATTTTTTTTTTGACTTGGAGTCTCACTCTGTCGCTCAGACTGGAGTACAGTGGCATGCTCCTGGCCACCACAACTTCGACCTGCTGGACTCTGGTGATCCTTCTGCCTCAGCCTTCCAAAGAGCTGGAACTACAGGCGCGCGCTACCATGCCCGGCTAATTTTTTATTTAATGTAGAGATGAGGTCTCATTAAGTTGCCTGGCTGGGTCTCAAACCCACGGGCTCAGGCAATCCACTCGCCTCTGCCTTCCAAAGTGCTGGGATTACAGACTGAGCCACCAAGCCCAGCCAAAAAAAATTTTTTTTGAGTCGGAGTCTCACTCTATTGCCTAGGCTGGAGTGCAGTGGCCTGCTCACAGCCACCACAGACTCAACCTGCTGGACTCCGGCGATCCTTCCGCTTCAGCCTTCCAAGTAGCTGGAACTGCAGGCATGCACTACCACGCCTGGCTGATTTTTGATTTATTGTAGAGATGAGGTCTCGCTAAGTTGCCCAGGTGGGTCACGAACCTGTGGGCTCAGGCAATCCAACATGTGTTTTTTTTAATTTATTTTTATTTATTTATTTTGAGTTGAAGTCTCACTCTGTCACCCAGGCTGGAGTGCAGTGGCACGCTCATGGCCACCCCAGTGTCGACATGTTGGGCTCAGACGATATTTCTGCCTTAGTCTTCCAAGTAGCCAGAACTACGGGCTCGTGCTACCATGCTAATTTTTTATTTATTTATTTATTTTTTAAGTTGGAGTCTCACTTTGTTGCCCAGACTAGAGTGCAGTGGCCGCTCCCGGCCACCGCAGCCTCGACCTGCTGGGCTCCAG